AGGTGATGGATTCTGCAGGCAACCCTGAATAACACTGCAGCCACAATTAAAACCCACTTGAGGGCTGGAGAGACGGCTCGGCAGGTAAGGGTGCTTGCTGCCGAGCCTGGCCACCTGAGTTTAATCCCTGGAACTCACCTGATGGGAGAGAATTGGCTCCCACAAGATGCCCTTCACTCTCCACATGTGCACGGTGTCATGTGTGTGCCACCCTGCCCCACATACACACAATAAGGAACTGTAAAAATTCTAACATAGGGGCTGGAATAGGAACCCAACTCACATGACTTTGGTGACCATGTGGGACATCCTCGGCCCACAATGTAGTGTGGGGATCTCCAGCCGTGCACCCAGAATTCCAGAAAGGCCCATCAGGTCAGGATGGCCAGGAGGGAAAAGAGAAGGGGCCTTCACACTGACCAGGTCATCACCCCACCATCCTCCCTTAGGGTGCTGCTAGGCCGGGAGGACCACCCACCATCCCGGTGAGTCAGAGCTGCTCTGACAAGCATTGGGAGCTCTCTCTCTAGTCATGGCCATCTCAATCACAACGTTGCTGTGGAACACAGGCAGTCTCTTTTTTTTCCCTTAAAGTGACATGGCTTTGGTAACCAGCACCCCCTGGGGCCCTGACAACTCTGCTTTGTGCCTGCATTTTGTGTCATTGGCATTGATCTGTTTGTCCTAGAGTCTGACTCAAGACCCCACCTCTCCACTCTGCCCTGGCCATCCATGTTTCCTTCTTCCACCTTTCCCTCTGTGCTAGAGAATGCCTAAGCAGCTTTATTCTTATCCCTCCCAACTGTCCTCTTCCCTTTCCCCACCCTCCCACAGCGCTGTCTGCCTTCTTGGACTCCCCCACCCCATACACCTCTTTCTCCCTTGTGCTGGCACTCTGAGTGGCTCTGGGTCTCTTTGGAGTCTCCCAGGAACTAGAGCCATTCCTGCCTCTTTTTAGATATTATATCGTGTGTGTGTGTGTGTGTGTGTGTGTTCGATCCTGCGGAACTGGAGTTACAGTTGGTTGTGAGCCACAGAGTGTGCTAGGAAGTGAACTCTGACCTCAGAAAAAGCAGCAAGTGCTGTTAGCTGCTGAGCCACCTCTTCCTCTCCAGCCCCTCGTCCCTTCCTTATTGAAAGTGGTGAGGTCCAGACACGGGCTGGCTGTTGCTCGCTCTGTGCATGAGAAGAGTCCCATCCTGCCGTCTCCACTGTGTGTGCGGAGCCTCAAGTCCAATAGGGTCTGCTCGCACCTGGTTCCTGAATTCAACTCTCCTTTTCACACCTGTGAAATCCACAGTCACACACACCCCCGCCAGAAGATCTCCCTGCCTGTGCCTTTGATATCCTTAACCAATTTAATATACAGAAAACTAGTTTGTCTCCTCCTCCCCATGGCCCTAGCATGGTCTTGGCTCTATTCAGGTACATCTCATAGTGGTCCAGGAGGTTTTGCTTCTGTTCACAGTAGGGATTCCCTCATCTGTTCCTGCTCTCTGGTTCCAGTTTCCCCTCCTCACAACCCACTGCTCTGGAAGTTCTACCCTTAGCCCCAGATGCCTCAGGGATGCCCCTAAATCACATTGTAACATCCCGGCAGCCAGGCTCAACCATTGCCTCACAGAGCCTATTCTGCAGACTTCTGGGAAGGCAAAGGCTGCTAGCGCTTGTAACAGAGGAGCAAGCAGGGCAGGCAGGGAGGTTGCAACTGTCTATTCAAGCCAGTGAGGGACCCTCATTTCCTAACTGAGGGCACTGGAGCAGAGGCCGTGAGGCTACGTTCTAGCCAATGGGGCATGCGTAGAAGTGTCAATGCCTGGAGGCTGGGCAGGAGCACCGGGCCCCCCACTTGCTTTCTTCAGCTGAGCCATCTATGATGACACACTCACAGCATGGAGGAGCTACTGTATTAGCCCACACCACTTTCCTTCAGCCTGCTTATATAGAGGAATGTGACTGTCTACTTCGTTTAGATCAGAGAGCTGGAATTCTGCACTTCAGCAGGCTGCCTTGTGAGCTACCTGCTATTAGCAATGGTCTGATTGTGTGCCTACAGGCAGATACTATCTATGTAGTCTCCATGGCTACATTTTGTTTTGTGATTGCTACCAATGAGCTGAGCAATAACTGATCTTGGTGGTTGATTTGATACACTTGGGAAGAAGGAGCCTTAACTGAGGAATTGTCTCTATCATATTGGCCGGTGAGCATGTCTGTTTGGGTCTGTGTGTGTGTTTGGGGCAGGGCGGATTTCTTAATTGCTTACTGATGGAGAAGGGCCCAGTCCACTGTGGACAGTACTATCCCTCTTGGGTTGTATAGAATGCTAGTTGCAGAAGCAGGCTGCAAGTCAATAAATAAAGCAGAATGCCTTCACAGTCTCTGCTTCAAGCTCCTACCCTGAATTCTCTCAGTGACGGACTGTAGCCTGTGATAAGAAATAAATCTCTTCTCCCCAATTTGTCTTTGGCCATGGTGCTTAGTATAGCAACAGGAACCAAACGAGGGCAAGCGGGTTGGGAACCTTTTGTTCTACGTGGGTAGAAATTATTGAAAAGGAAGCTGGGTTTGTTAGTACGCACCTTTTATTCTGGCACTTAGGCAGAGGCAGGAGGATGGCAAGTTTGAAGCCAGTCTGAGCTGCAAAGCAAGCTGGGCTAGGGGACTGTAGAAGCCAGAGATTCAGGGTTCCAGGTGCTCAGGCTGGAGTCTCATTGCCTTGCGCTTCAACTCCCAGCTGCCCAGCTCTGAGAAGCTGTTGTAACCCTGATGGGATCAGAGATTTCAGGCTGGGGCCCTGCTCCTTGAGGCTTCACAGCTTCCTACCTCTCCACTGTTCTGCTTTATCGTCTCTTACAGGTCTGGACTAGCCTTTCACGGGCCTCAGCAGTTAAGCGCAGCACAGCTAACTCAAGAAAGGAACTGGAAAGCTAATTTATAGCTCTAGAAAGGGGGTGTGGCAAGGCTGCCGGCACCAATCAGAAGCAGCGCTTTATGCAAATGAGTTGCGATTGCACCAACCACAGCATAGTCTTTCATTTGGTGCCCACCAGCCTATCTGGTGTGGGTGGACGTGGTTACAGGGTCATTAGGAGTTCAGAGAGGCTGGTGAAGAGCAGAAAGTCTCTTGCAAGCTGTTTGAAGCCACTGCGTGGTTGGGATGGTGCCTCAGGAGCCAGCATCATGTTTCTGAAGCCTGCAGCTGATCACAGTGCAGTTCCTAAGGTATCCAGGAGGGTTCAAATCAGCCAGGTGCCGTGAGGGCAATTGGTAACTGCAGGGCTGGCAGTCCAACACATACGCAGCCTGGCATCAGGGAAAAGTGTGACTACTGTCAGCTGGGGAGTCAAACCACTCCAACTCCCAGAAACTCAGTTATTTAAAAGAAAAAAATTTTTTTTAAAAAAGGATTGCTTATCACTAACATTAAAAACAAATTACTAGTATTTCACAGTGCTCTGCTTTTACCCAAAGACCGTGGGGGAGATCTGGGTCATTTTACCTGTTTCATAATCTTTCAGATTCCTCTCCTAATGCAAATAATTGCTGGGCCACAGGACTATGTCTCCTTCTGCTTTCTTGGCACATAGAATGGGACAAAGACTTCTCCTCTGGCCACAGAAATCACTGAAGACAGAAGGGCACACTTTCATCCTCTCCTGGTCCAACTCAGAGGCTTGCACCCCACTTACCATTGACCTCATAATACCATGGACTTTCTCACCAACATGCTGTGCAAGGTCTGGCTGCAATCTGAAGCATCAGAAACCCACCCAAAACAGCATCAATGAGAGGTTGCATGAGGGAGACCGCAATGGCCCTCCGTCTTGCTGTATGCATCACCTCGGCCTCTCCTGCAGTGCAGGGTGAGAATACAGGCTCAGGTGAGGACCCCAGGAGTCCATGCTGACTTATAACCACCACCCCACTCCTCGCCCCAAGACAGTTCAGCTCAGCTGGCTAGAATAACCCGGCCGTTGGTGTACCAGTGAGGGGGAAGAGCATGCCATCCATCCTTGGCCACAGTGGTGCATGTGGACATGGTTTATCTCCTCAGTGTCACCAGCATGACCACAAAACAGACCTCCTTTGTCCCTCCAATTTCCCTTGTATCTGTGGCTGCACTGATTGTTTAGGATGAAGAGAGATTACCCTAACACAGCTGGAAATCAATGTCTCATTTCCTCAGGGCCTGTTTGTCCTCAGAAGGTATATGTGGTCACAGGCAAAGGGCAGAGGTCACAAGCTGGTCAGATGGGATGTCGCACACAAATGCTCAGTGACTGCCAGCTCCCACTGGACAGAACAGACTAGCCAGCCTACCCCAGCCAGCCCCACATTCTGAGACTGCGTCACCCATATGGTGTAGAAATCTCTCTGCTGGAAACCTACCTGCCAGCTGCCTCCAGATCTCCGAGGGGCTCCTGGGAAACCCTTGCCCAGTCAGCACCCAGTTATTTTAGGGGAGTCAACAGGAAAAGGGCCACTTGGTTCTCACCTTACACTGTGCACAGCTGAACCAGGAAGGTCTTCCTACTGTTCACCTTACACCAGCCGAGTTGCTGAGGAGGCTAGCCCTCATCAGCCCAGGCCAAGACTCCCTGGGGTCAATCCCTACAGAGTCCACAGATTCCCCTTGTCTGCTCCCAATGATCCTAGAGTCCAGCCTGTAGAGGATGTGCTCCTGGACCCAAACCTGAGAGTAGAATCCGATGGCAGAAATACCAACCATCCCATGGCCTGCCTGGAGAAGATTCCTAAGATGTCAAAGTCACAGTGCAGGGAGCGAACAGGTCTGCCACCTCCCTGAGGAGGGCCCATAGAATAGATGATTGCCTTGGCATAAAGCAAATGGCAATAACCAGTGGGCATGAGACACTGCCCTCAGGTGGGACCAGACATGGCTGAAGAGAGGAAGGTCCACACAGGGACCTGGAAAGAGCAGAACACCAGACTCACTCCCAAGTCCCAGGTCAGCAAAGGAAGACAGGGCCAAATGGTTGAGTTCTTTTTTCTCTTTTTATTGGCAAAGTAAATATATTTTTATGAAGGACCAAAGAAAATATACATAATTGTAACATATATACACTGACTTTATAGAATTTTTTAATTTCAAATTTACACAAATGTCAACGTGTTATTAAAAGATATTTTATGTAGATGCGTACCTATGTACAGTTTATTTACATACATTCATAGGATGTGAAATAGACCTGTCAAAACAAGCTAGTCCAATTGATACTAATATCTAGACCTGATGAGGAATGCAAATCTAAGTCAGACTGGGAGGCGCTAGCTAGTTGCTTGGCATCCACCAGGCCAGTTCCTGTCTCCTCCTACCACAACCTGGAGGATGCTGATGTCTGGAGGAGGGTGAGCCAGGCTGGGTACCGATGGATATGGCTCCATTTGTCTTGCATTTAAGCACATGCATTACAGCCTAGAGCAAGGGTGGCCGTTCTCCTGGACCCTCAAAGGCCTCTTGCATATGGCAGTCCTCATGCCACAGTTCAGCCCTACACTTTTGACCTACTTCCTTGTTCCCAGCATGGCTCCTTCTGGGAACTATTTCGACACAACCGAAACACTTCTTCCCCAGCAATAATGTTGGCTTTGGCCCAGGTAGGGAGCCCAATGGGAGAAGGGCAAGGACCCCCCCAACAATCCTTCCGGCTGGCAGGAAGGCACAAAGGCACAAGGGTGCAGGCCTGCCTGGGCCACCGGGGAACCAGCCCCGGGGACCTTGGGGACTCTAGGTCCTCCCCGGAAAGGCAGCCATGGCGGTTCTGGGTCACACCTCCTAAGATTCAGAAGGGGGCTGGTAACATTGTCACATCCTTCTGAAGGAGGCAATAAGTTATTGCATCTAAAAACAAAGCGTGGGGCTAGGGGAGGGTGGGGTGGTCACTGCACTCAGTTGATGGCGCGTACGGCCCGACTGCTCCGTGGGAAACGATGCACCTTGATGTGTTTGGAGAGGTGGTCACTCCGCGCAAACTTCTTCTCGCACACGGGACACTGGTACGGCTTCACACCTGAGTGAGATCGCCGGTGCCGTGATAGTTCATCTGAGCGGGAAAACCTGTGGAACATGGCGGTCAGCCAGGCCAGCGTGGGCACCACCACTGCAAGTGACCTCAAAGCCAGCGCCACAGCCTCCCCAGCACCAGGTGGGGGTACAGTGGGCTAGGCTAAGCCAGGCTGGAACTTAAGTGATTAGACCACCTCTGTAGCCACCCAATGAGATCCTGGCAAGCCCCAGTGTCCCAGAGACCTCCCAGAAGCCAAGGGTAAAGACAACGAGGCACGGGTTTTCTATCCTGGCCAGGGCCTGCTTCCCACAGTAGCTGGTTACTGTTCTGCATGGGAAAGGGACCTAAGGCTGCTAGCCACCTGGGACTCCCTCCCTCCCACAGTAACTCGGTGGAACTGGATCGCTCCTATATTGTCAACAGCAGGTCAGCAGTATTTGGTCCCTGGGAAGACCCGCCAGAGCTGACAGGCCCAACAAAGGAACCAGACTCCTCAGACCATGGGAGCGCCTGGCCACTCTTCTGCTGCTGCAACAGGGCAGAAGGACCTGGCATTCTGCAGACCTGGACATGGGACCTTCTGAGATGCCTCCAAACATGCCTTCACGGTACGTCTAAGCATTTAAATGGCTTCCTGGAACATGCCTCTCTCTCAGTCACTGCAGGCCTGGGAACAGAGATCCGTGGAACAGGCAGGAACCAGAGCTAGGCCACAATGCCCAGGCTGTTTGGAAAAACTTCAGAGACCTAAGACTCTCCATTTGGCTTTTGCTCTAGCAACAGGACCCCAGGGCCTCACTACCCCACCTATTCAGACTTTTCCTCTATCCTTGCGACAAGACACTTGCGCACTCTCCCCTCTCCTCTCTGTCCTTATCCGCTCATTCTTCAGTCTATCCCCAGTGTCACTTCCTGGGGGTCCTACACCGTGTGCTGAGCTGCACCACAGCACTGCGCACTATGTTATCTCCTGTGTGTGCTGGGGAAGCAAAGCTCGGACACACAAGCGCTCCACCACCGAGCACCACCTCCAGCCCCATGGCATTTTCAGACTAGTTTCAATATCTTAATTAGGCTCAGCTGTGCCTAGACAGCATAATCTCCAGGAAGAAGAGCGCACTCCCTGTTCTCTGTGCCCAGGAGGTGCATTTAAATGGGGGGGGGGATGCTCAGCAGGCACCCCGGGATCAGAAAGGATTGTCACACACTGATCACTGCATATATCCCCAGGAACACACACAAGTCCCAGGCCCAGCACCCCATTTCTAGATAGGTGCCACTCGGTGTGGCAGATGAGGTGGACAGCAAAGACGTCACACTCAGTTGCTAGAGCTACGGTCACCTTAGCTCAGATTCTGCAGTAAACCACCCTGACCTCAGCCTGGGGAACAAGAATAATAGTGACATCGACAACCGACAGGGCTCATGACACCAAGGGCCTCAAAATTCTGTGCTTTGAGCAGTGCAGGGCCTGTCAAGGCAGGTAGAGCCAGTGTGGAAGCTGCTGCCTTGCAGCCATGTCCCAGGGGACCGGGCACGGGGATGTCTCTTAGAGGACCACTTAACTAGATAGAATTCACCGTGATGTGAACTGAGACAGAACACCTGAGGCTGGAATGAAGCCTCTCCCCTGGCCTGTCTGCTCCTGCCTCTCAGCTTTCTCTTCCTGGCCTGGTAGTGCTGTTACCTGGACCCTGTGCCATAGCCACGTGCCCTCAGCAGGCGTTGGGCACAGAGCCTCACAAGGAAGAACAGGTTTGACAGTCCCCATTTCACTGGTCCTGAGCATCCGGGACCTCAGTTTCCTCCCTCACTCCCTGCATGCCTTCGAAGGGACAGGTTATAAGACACCCTGAGAGGGACAGCAGCTGAGGGGCAGCCATGCCAGAGAACAAGGTGTCCCCATTCCAGAGCCTCCCTCTGCTGTCACAGCCTTTTGGTACCTGACAGGAATGTCCTGGTAACTGAGTTGAAGATGACCCCTGCCTGACTGGGTCACATCCTCTGATAACAGTCAAACGAGAAGCCTGAGGCAGCAACGAGCAAGTGATACAAGATCTTAGCTGGGCAGGACACAGCCTTGGGATTCGTCTGGGCAGGTTGCCAAGTCCTGCTAAACCCTGGTATCCCTACCTTGGGACAGTAACAATGACAGACTTATCTCAGGAGACAATTACAGACAATGGGGCTTCAAATGTGGCAATTGTTTAAGAATTGTGAGCTCCTATTGAACATAAGGAACAGAACACAGGATTCCTGGTAGATGGCAAAGGCCTGGTGCCTGGCGTCTGTGGGGCAGGTTCATAGGGCAGAAGACGCACAGGAGCCATCAGGAATGTCAGCATAAGAACTGTGTGAAACACAAGTTGCCATCTGCCAGAAAGTCACAGTCAACAGTCGGATCTCAGAAGCTGCAGCCCCTAAGGCTGCATGTGCAGTGTGCAACCTGCAGATCATATGTGGGCATCTGCCAGCCACAAGGCCAGAGGACATGCCCCTGCATATGAGCAGCAGTGATGAATGCTAAGAGAGACCACTAAGCCCGAATCCAGTACCCACTTCCGCCAACACTCAGTGGCTTTGGACTCTACTGTCCCCCTCGGGGCCTCCTGTGTCCACCATGGATGCCGGTAGTACATGACACATAGCGGCTGACAGCTATTAATACTCACTTCAGCTATGGCCCAGCGAGATTCTTTCTGGAAGGAGCGGCTTGGCCACTCTGGAACAGGATGTTCCACTGCAGGGAACAAAGGAGGCCTGTGTCTGCAAGTGGGGAGAGGAAACTTCTAGGAAGGCGGCAAACAGCCACTTCCCAGATGGTTACACCAGAATAGGCAGGCTGGCTTTAGTCCCTCCTGCATGCAAAACCACGTCCTAACAGGGAGAGAGGAGGGAATCCTGGCCACACTAAAGCAGAATGCAGTGGGGTTTGGGACTGGGACAGGTGCCACCTCAGCTGCGGGGTAGTCCCCTGGGCTGTGGAGAAATGGGAGCAGAGGCGGGGGTTTGGGCAGATTTAGGAACTCAGGGCCCAGTGCCAGCACCAGAGCCGGATGGGAAGTATAGAACACGTTGGACCAGCCAGGCCCAGCTGCAGGTGGAAGAGGGGCCTCTCCCCTGGGAGGTGAGCAAGAGTGTGGAAAGGAAGCAAAAGTGCGGAGAAGCACTCTGAGCCTAGGGTGGGTGAGGGAGAAAACAGCTGTTAAATTCCTGACTCTGCCACTTTTTTCTCCTCTTTTTTTCCCTGAGACAGGGTTTCTCTGTGTAACCCTCGCTGTCCTGGAACTTACTCTGTAGACCAGGTTGACCTTGAACTCAGAGATCATCCTGTCTCTGCCTCCTAAGCGCTGGACAACTCTGCAACTTAGAAGTTGTATGACCACAGAGAAAGTGCTTACCAGCTCTGTGGCTCTATTTCCTCCGTTAGGCGCACCTCATAGGAACTGACATGAGCAGTTACCACTGTGCCTGCCGCTCTCTCCTTTCCCATAGCCAGGAGCCAGGAGCACAGCACAGCCTAGGGGCTGAGGATGTGGCCCATTTGGTAAAGTGCTTGCTGAGCAAACATGAGGACCCAAGTTCAGATCCCTTCGCACTTAAATAAAAACTGGACACAGTAGGGTGTGCCTGTACTATCAGTGTTAGGGTCGGCTGGAGCTCACTGGCCAGCCAGCTTAGACAATCCATGAGCTCTAGGCTGTGAGAGACCCAGTCTCAAAAAATAAGGTGGAGAACTACTGAAAAAGACACATGGTAAGCACCTCCGGCCTTCATGTGCATGTGTATCTGATCACAGGAGTACACAGTACACACACACACACACACACACACACACGCACGCACACACACACACCCCACAGCATATACTATGGCCACTTCCAAACCTGGCTGTACTGCTGAAGAATCAGGCAGGTGCTGCACCCATGGGGATGTACCCCAACCCCAAAATCACACATACTAGCTACATCCTTCTGACAGATGATCATTCTGTACCTTGATTTCCCTCTGTAGAATGTGGGTTACTACATATGCTTGTAGAGTTCTTGTGAGGACTCAATAAGCTAATGTGTGTATTGGGGGTTCACAGCAAAGGCTGAGCCACCACAAGCATCCTGGGGCCTGTGACGATGGTGAAGGAAACAGAGGGGAGAGTGGCATGGCTGATCTTGCTAGAGAAGGCGTAAAGGCCAGAGAGAACACTGGGGAAGCTGTGGGCCACAGCAAGAAGGCTGGACTGGAATTTAAACACTCCAAAGTGTTCTCTGCATTTGAAGGCCACATCAATTTCAGGGAGTAATGAGCTCCCGCAGAAGGGCATACACAAGAGAAGGGGTTGGTGGGGATCCCAGCACACAGTGATCCCCAAAGCGACATGCTACCGCCACCATCATCGTCATCACAGCCCACCCTCCCACCTAACTGCAGCAAGGAACTGCCGCCCACTACACCGCTTCTGAGTGGAAGGCCGACCACATGCAGGGAGCTCGCAGACCTTCGAGGCACAACCCCTAGGCTTCTAATCTCCAAGAATATCCTGGGGATCTCAGACACTCAAACTTCCAGCTCTTTCCTGAGGCAGATGCTACATAGGGACCTTGACATGGACACCATGTTTTTAGTCTTGCTGAGTGGGCTCTGCCTGGGCAGTGAGGCCAGTGCAAGGCTCAGGGTCAGAGCCAAGGCCCTTCCTTGGATCTCATGCTTCCTGGAGCAACACGGTGGTGGGCGATGACCTGCCTTCCAGCCTTCATCCTTGACCACATCTTACAGCCTGTAACCCTGGCCTGGCCTCTTTCTCTCTGGAGATGCCACTCAAACGTCAGCACCAGTCAAAGTGAGCAAGCAGTACTTCCTGGGGCAAGCAAGCCCATGGAGTGAGCACTGTTGGGCGAAGGCTATTCAGTAGCCTTCCCATGAGCAGTCCCTGTGGGTGCAAACACCTGCCAGTGTCCCAGGCAGGACACCTCAGAGATTCCTCTCCATAGTCCGACTGTGGGAAAATGACCTCATGAAAAGAGGGCACAGTCAGACCCCCCACATTAGCTCTGAGCTCCAGAGAACAAAAGGAGACAGATAGGAGATTGCAAGTTGATAGCAACCCCAGGGCGGGCTCTGGGCCTGTCCCACTGCCTCCTCCAAACAGGGTCCATTGCTCCCTCCATCCTCAGTCAACACCCCTGCCAGGTCTCTGTCTAGGCTCCTCTTGCCCTACAACTTGTCCACTCACTTACCACCCCACAGTCCTGCTCTGGGTCCACTCCTGAAAACATGGCTCAGAGAAGAGACAGCAGACCTAGGGAGCCCAGCAATTGAACAGGTAAGAGAAAACAACAACACCTCTCAGGAGCCTCCGCAACCCAAAATACTGACTGAGAAAGTTCCTTTTCTGGTCAATTTGGTGCTGGAAGGTAAATACTGCCACTGTGACAGGCCATCCCCCAGGCTCAGTCTCATCAGGCCAGCACCTGCCCTGAGGCTAGCCCCACTAACTCAGAACTCTCCCTCTGGGACTATTCCTGGGTGCCACCCCACATCAGGTACAAGACGTGTCCATACACTGCAGACAATGTCTAGCTCTATCAGATCTGTGCATACAGATGAGCCTCACCTGACACACACACGTGACAGACAGACAAGATGGAACGGTGCTGCTGCCACACACGCTATCCACCAAGGCCAGAGCATCCGCCACCTGGCTGTAGCACCCTGAGCCTGTGAGCTTCTGCAGGCAACTAGCCTCCTGAAGACCATGACGGGCACCCAGGGCCTAGGACAAGGCGACCCCAGGATTCCATGGTCCCTGTCATCACATCTGGGCAGTCTGGATCCACCCTGTTTTGTGGAACAGAAATCTATAGGATTCTGCCACCTTTGGCTCCATATGATAGCCGTCTGTCCTTCCTTTCGGCTGTTCTTTATGGCTTCCCAAACACACCTCCAGTCGCCAGGGAAGAAACAAGGCAAAGCTCAGCCCAAACTTGTGAGCAAAGCTCACCTCCTGGCTGGAGGGAAGTATAATTTTCTAGTTCAAGTCTCAGGGCTCACATTCCACTCACACAGTACTGTGGCATGGGTGGTTCTTGACTAGTCAGAGTCTCCATGTACCTAACCAGAAATGTCATGGGTGTGACGGTAATACTTACCCCAAGGATGCTGAGAGGCCTGCATGGGTCTCTGGCTCAGTTCTCTAGCTGAGCTTCCTTCTGCTTCAGCCCAGCCTGAGAGACCACATGTAGCATAAGCCCAAGCAAGACTTACCTGATCTTTAAAGAAACCGGAGACCAGGTAGCTACCAGCTTCAGTCACCAAGAGGGACAAGTAAGTCTCCAGCAACTGTGCCAGCTCTGATCCTGACCCTTGCCCACCCCTTGCTCCTTTCCAATTCCACCTTATCTAATGGAGAAAGGGGGCTTGGCAACACACCCCGGTGAGCAGCGATGTGCCTCCTAGCTGGCTGCCCAGCCTGTCCATGCATACTGACCTCCAGCCGCAGCCCGGCCAGGTGCAGGCGAAGGGCTTCTCGCCTGTGTGCCGGCGCAGGTGGGCCTTGAGGTGGCTACTCTTGGTGTACATCTTGCTGCAGCCGGGGAAAGTGCATTTGTGCATCTTGAGAAGTTCTGCTGCTGGGTTCTTGGGGAACTTCTGACCCACAAGGAGGCCAGCAGGGCCAGGACCTAGGGATCCCGAACCAATAGGTTTGGCAGCGATGGGCACAGGCGCAATGCGCACAAACTTGGAGGGCAGGTTCAAGTTGGAGGATGGTACCACTTGAGGCAGGAGTGCAAAGGTCTGCCCCTGGATGTTAACCAGGAGCTGGGCAACCTTGACACTCTCTGGGGCCTGCCCTGGGGAGGCTGGCCCTGAACCTGCCTCCTGCTTCACAGCAACAGGCTGGATTTGCAGCAGCACGGGCATGGGGCCATCACGTGCCGGCCCCTCACCAGCACTTTGGGCACCACCCCCACCGGTGCCACCTGGTGGCGGGGTACAGCGCTCTCTCCCACCAGACTCTGGATGGAGGTGGTTCCGGTGTGACCCAGCGGAGAGCTGGCTGCAGGCCTCCAGGTCCCTGCTGCTGCTCTCTGGGGCCTCCTTGACCTCAGCCTCCATGTTCTCTTCCAAGAATTCTTCAATCTCCTCCAGGGTAGGCTGGAAGGGTCTGGAGACGTCATCAGGGTCTCCTGACAGGAATTCGGGGAAGCAGAAATGTTCCCCTTTCACAGGCACAGAGGCTCTCCTCCATGATCCCAAGGTCACAGGGCCACTGCTATCTCCGACACCTCCACTGCCACCACCGCTGCCCAGTGTGGCCTGAGACAGGAGGAAATCCAAGATGCTGTCCTGGGCCTCAGGGCCTGGACCTGAGCCGTAGCAGGAACAGAAGGCTTGCGAGTCAGGGCTGGCACAAGAGCAGGGGCTGGAGACATCGCTGTCATCCTCAGAGATGGGAGAGGGCAACATGTGGTATGGTCGCCGGCTGGCCAGCCTATCACCCAGGTACCCCACTGAGCATTTTGGTGACGAGAAGGTCTCGTCCACTGGAAGCAAGTGGTCCACCATGCTGGCTTGGCCGAGCCTGTGGTGGCTGCAGAGGGAACAAGGGAGGTCTGGTTAGAAGGACTGCATGCTCACTGGTGCCTCGCAGCCCCCACCCTCGGTTGCCTGCCCAAGGCCTCCTGTGGCCAAATGTCCAGACCCTGCTTCCATCCCAAGGGACAATGGGGCCGGCGAGTGTGTTTTCAGAAATTGCATCACCCTGTTTGCAAAAGAGCCCTCTCCAGGCCCCGTTGCACAACCCAGGGCACTTCTGGTTTCAAACATTTTCCAGAATGATTCTGGAAAGGAATAAAACAAGGAATGCTCTTGTCTGTGAACAGCTGAGTCCAAGGGGGAAAGGAGGCCAGGGGGAGGAGGCCCTGCAAGTGGCAGGACCTAAACTCTGCCCTCTACCTGGAGCTAGAGAGGGGGTGACAAGGAAAGATGCCATTTGCACTCTGAGTCCAGGCTTCGGAGGCTTCTGAGCGAATAAAAGCACAAGCTGCTTGTTAGATGTTCACTTCAGATTTCAAAAATGAACTTCTGTGAATGCAAGCACAGCGTTCCCAGAGTTGAATGGGACACGCGTGTATCTGAGCTGCCTGTACTTTAGCCTGGTAGCTATAATGTGGAGGGGAAAAAAAAGGTTAGAGGCCATTAAGTGCCTGCCTGCCTGCCTTCACAATGTTTCCCTACAAACTTCCAGCCGAGTTCCAGAACCACCTTTCTCCTCTATGACTAGGAGAGGAGACACGGAGTTGAGCCAAGCGCTCCCTCCATGGTGCCTAACACTATCCCGCCATGATGGACAAGGTCCAGTCCCTGGTGGCCATGAGGCTCCAGAAGGTCTGAGAGCCCAGTTCGTGGGTAACTTCCTGGGACATCACAACCTTCAGGCAGGATGAGGGGGTGACATTTGCCCTTGGCCGATGTGTGGGAGCAGAGCCTCCTGTCCTCCCCCCACCCCACCTCTCCTGTCTGGGACACTCACCGACTTGGGGAAGCTCAGCAGATGCCCGTGTCCCCTCTTGGCAGCACACTCTGCTGCCGTATCCCCAGCACTCAGCACCACACCACGTACCCAAGAAGGGCTCAGAGAATGTGGACAGAAAGGAGAGGGAAAGCCGTGTCCTCCAAAGCCAAATCCCATGCTAGGTCTGGCGGCCAAGGAGAGTCAACAGTATCTGGCTGGGATGGGGCCACCTCTCTGGACCTTTGTCCCCGCCCAGTGACCACGGCTGGCTGTGTGATTATCAAGACTGGAGAGGGGGAATGCGCAGAACTGTAGAGTCCATAGTCTCTGCACCCACATCCTGGCCATCATCTCCACAGGTCCCCTCCACAGCCTGGCACCTGGCACTGCCCAGCAGCCAAGAGGCCAGAGTCATTTTGCTCCCCTGGGTCTCAATTTCCCCAACTGTTCTATGCCTCAGTGCTCTCTAAGTTTCTCTCTTGCTCCAGGGAATAGAGGCAAGATCTGAGCTCGAGGGAAATCCTGCCAGGAGGCCATCTGGGTTTAAACACTCAGCTGAGGATCTAAAAGCAGGAGTGTGCTTTAAAATACACTCTCTTCACTAAGGCAGGTGCTGAGCAGGAATCAAGTGCCAGCAATGCAAAAGGCAAAGGCGCGGGACGCACGCCTCGCATGCAGCTATCAGCTGCGTGACCTCAGGCAAGGGGCACAACTTCTCTGTGCACACATCTGGGTGCTGCCAGTGTGACCCGGCTCCGAGGCCGCGTGCACACCCAAAGAGCTCATGTATACCGGAACACTTATTAAGATGTGGACAGTCAGGCAAACGCAGGGCGCATGGTATCCCAGGACTTGGAACAGAGCCGCCTAAGATCTGAGATGACATTCACAGCTGGACACCCACAGCACCGGGCGATCACACTGCTTTCAAATGTCATGGTGGTCTCCAGACTCCATTGTTAAAAGGATGGAAACCAGTCTGCTGTAAGTACAAACAGCGGTGCTGGTGGGCAGAGCGGCTCATACTCGGTGTCTCAGCACTCAGGAGACAGCCAGGGGATCATGAGTTCAAGGGCAGCTGAGTGAGAGCCTACTGAGACATGGAAGCGGGGCAGGAACAAGGTAGCGAATGCAGATACAAAAGGATGGCAAAGTGGAACTGCACAGAAGAATCTCCCTCCCGCCATAAAAATGTTTCTAAAATGTTTCTGATTCCTCCAGGGCCCAGGGCACTAGCACCTTGCCCACCCACGCTGCACCTCCAGCTGCTTCAGGCCTGGCTCATCTGCACTAAGAGAGCCTGGGCCATGGCACCAACAACTCTGTGGAAGGCTCTCCAAGCGTTCCAGTTGGGAGCTCATTATTTAGATATTTCAACTCAGAAGACACTTTCCCTTAGACAAATCACCCGGGATTATATCCTTCACAGCAGGCACCACTGTGAGACCTGTCTATGCTCTGCTTCCCCACCAGAAAACAAGCAGTTATGACTCTTCCGTACAGGCCAAGATCTAGAGTCAAGAAAAAGCCCTTGACTGAATCCAGGAGTGGAGAGGCCCCAGTCAGTCAACAGGATCTTAAAACAGAACTGAGCAACCCCGGGACACTGAGGCGTTGAAGACCCAGGGCTGAAAGTCTGAGTGCCAGCGCTCAAACCGGTCCCTGAAAAACAGCAGCACGTGGCGCAGCCAGAGGCGCAGTCTGCGTGCAGGGGGAGGGGGCACCCGGTTCTGGGCACGATCCCTGGCCGGCCGCTGGACTCCGCCCCCTCTCCTAGCCGGCCAGGCCTGCTGTTTATCCTCCCGGGGACACAGCGGCTGTAGGAACAACATGTAATTGATAACAAGCCTAGAGCCGGCCAAGGGCTAGCCATTGGGTCAGCGTGCAAATCACGGGGGTGGCGAATGGGGGCCGCTCTTCAAAATAAGAGTCTCCTTCTTGAGCAGTCCTAAGGCCCCCAAAGTTACATTCTCGCACCTGTAGGGCGGTGGGGGCTCCCCATGGTAGGGGAAAAAAACATCTGAAGGACTCAATCAAACATCTGGGATTTCAGCTTCGCATACCATGAGAGAAAACAGCCCCTGTACCCTGCTCGCGAGAGGGCTTCCAAGAAGGGTGGCCTGCCCTGCTCCGCGGCTGCTACCCTCAGCCATCTCATCGGTAATGTTTGGTCAAAGAGGCCTGGGGACTCTGCCTGGGGAATCTGAGCAGAACCGCAGGAACGCTGCGGGTGCGCGCAAATGGGTGTGAGTTTGTGTCGTGTGACTGCGTGTGCGGGGCGCAGTGCAGCCGTGCGGGTGTCCGCCAGGTGCCCGCGCGTGGGTGTCCACCCGTGGGTGTGAAGTACGCAGAGAAGGAGGTGGGCCAGACTCCTGCGCACGGCTTCGGAGAGCACCTTACCCTCAGCCCGGTGCCCCCCTCCGCGTCCCCTCTTAGGCCACCGCTGCTATGACCGACAGTAACCTCTCCGCCCCTCCGTCGCCAGGCCCCGCCGGGCGCCGCCATATGGGAGCGCAGATCCAGGAGTGCCACGGACGCGCGTGGGCTCCGCGGGCAGGAGCTGCGTACACGGGGTTTGCCCTCCGCGGGCGCCGCGCTCTCACTCGGGGGGTTCCCGCATTCCCCGGCTCCTGCGCGCAGCTCGAACAGCAAGCGCCAGGGGACGGCCCGCGATCCCCCGGGCGGACCCACGCGGCCGCGGTATCCCACGCGTCTCCCACCTGGACTCGGCGTCGCCTGGCGAGGCCTCGCGCGTGCGGCCCGGCTCCGTATGCGGCCGCGCGTCCAGCGCTCCTGGCCGCAGCCCGCGCTCCCTGCGGCCGAGCTGGGCGCTCGCCGCTCGCCGCTCTCCGCGCTCTCCGGCCGCTCACGTGACGCCGCGGGCGCCGCGAAGGCTCGCAGGAGGCTCGGCCTCGGGCGCGCGCCCCATTGGCTAGGGCCGCGCGTCACGCGCCCCGCCCCGCCCCGGCCGCGCCCTCCCGCAGCCCACGCGCTCCCGGGCCTCTGCGTGGATTCTCACTTGGTCCTCCGGTGCGCACGGGAGACGGGCCTAACGACCCACGGAAAGCCCGCACAAATCTTAAGTGCAGGCCACGTGGGGCCTCCTGAGCGGAATCGTCCCCGCAGCCCGATCAAGGCCGGATCTAGTAGGGACCGTGTCTAAAGGAACCATTTGTAAAAATCCATCTGCTCTTTTCTCCAGCGGTCATGGTTACCCACGGGAATTCGCGCTCGCTGCGCTGCCCTAGGCCTCTGCGACTGACTGTCCGCGGAGGCTTGTGACAGTGCGGGCGCCTCCTCAAAGACTGCAGGGTGCTCTCGATCTGCAGAGGGAGTTCCAGACTTCAGTCCCAAGCCATCCTGGGCCGCTCTTGCACGACTTAATGAGGAAAGTGAAGCCGTAGAAAACACGTGAGCAGAGGGAGCTGGGTACCCTGCTGTGCCCTTTAACCCACACTATACCTGGTTCCTCAGTCAGCATGAAGAAACCCTCTGAGAGAGAGCACGGGCCTTCCTAGCCACACATAGATAGAGGATCAGGCAAAGCCAGGTGTGTCTGCCTAGGGAGCTTCTTACAAACACCTAGGACATTTGGACAGACCTTCTTCGTGGCATTTCTTACCTGGTACTGGCAGGTGGCCAACCGTTTCCCCCCTGCTTCTCCCAGCTGTCCGTGCTGGAGACAGAATTTGTAGCGCCAGCGGGTCTGGGCCCCCTTAATCAAGGATCTGGGGGCCCTCCAGGTCACTGCGAACGACCCACCAGTTAAACTGAGTCTTAACCAGAGCACTTGAGGCAGCCTGTGCTCATCATAAGCCGCTGGTCATCAACTTTCTGATCTTAGACAAGGTACCCCCTGAGGCTGGGGCATTCTGCAGCCAGGGCTAGCAAGCAAAGCAGGTGGCATTGGCTAGTCTGTAAAGTTGATTGATCCTAGCTCGTCCGCTCAGGGCAGGGTCAGGCTGGGCCAGCACACTTCTCCTCTGCACTGCCTACGCTGGGCTCTGCATTCCTCTCACTCTGTCCAATGTCTCGCACCCCCTAGGAAGAAGTGCAGCCAAAGGTCAAAGGCTCAACAGCAAGCGTGTAGCTGAGCAGCCTTGGCCCAGGGGGAAGATGCCCCAGCTGTCCAGAAACCCATGACCAGCTTAGGGCATTTTGCCTAACCCTGAGTCAGATTAGACCCCCTTGCTTCAGAACCTTCCGGAAGCTCACTCACAGGTAATATATATAACCCAAGCTTTCTCAGTCTCTCTTGGGTCCCTTTCATTCCCCTGACCCCGTCTTCTTGCTCATGTTACTCCAGCCACATGGTCGCCAACTTACCAAGCACCAACTTCAGGGCCTTTGCATATGCTGTTCCCTCTGCCTGGGTATGCTCTGACCCCAAAACTCAACGTGGCTCTCTCCTCCAGGGTTTGTAAGTGATAGATATCTTCGAGGTGAGCCTGCATTTGCACTACCTCTTCCTTCCCCTCTTTTCCTATCCCGTTTAACAGTTCTGGATACTTACTACCTTCTAATTTTTTAAAAAGTTTCACTTTATTCTGTGTTCTCTTGTCTCCTGCAAAGAATGTAAGCTGCACAGAGATTTCTAGATATTCAGAAGCAGAGTTTGCATGGCCAACACCATGCAGAAGCCTGTAATTTTAGGACACGGGAGCAAAGGCAGGATCCCCCGAGCAAGCTGGCTGCTGGACCAACTGGAATTGGTGAGCTCCAGGCTCGGCAAGAGACCCCTGCCTCAATGAACAAAGTGGAGAGAAGTAGAGAAAGACACCTAATGTCAGCGTCAGGCCTCTACTGCACGCATACATATGCGATGTGTGCCAGCCCCCAACATGCATATTCATTCCCCACACACAGAAAAGAAATTAAACAGGGTCCCAGGGATTTACACTAAACGGGACAGTTGGTCCTCTGGGAAATCAGAACAATTTTCTTGTAAGAGACAAAACAAGCTTCTGTGTGATTGACCTGTCCTTTGGTGAGAGAGGAGTGTTGAAGTCTCCTACTATTAATGTGTGGGGTTTGATGTCTACCTTGAGTTCTAGTAATGTTTCTTTTACATAAGTGGGTGCTTTTATATTAGGGGCATAGATATTCAGGATTGAGACTTCATCCTGGTGGATTGTTCCTGTTATGAGTATAAAGTGTCCATCTCCATCTCTTCTGATTGATTTTAGTTTGAAGTCAATTTTGTTAGAAATTAGTATAGCCACACCCGCTTGTTTCTTAGGTCCATTTGATTGAAAAACCTTTTCCCAACCCTTTACTCTGAGCAGATATCTGTCATTGTGGTTGAGGTGTGTTTCTTGTAAACAGCGGAATGTTGGATCCTGATTTCGTATCCAATCTCTTAGCATGTGCCTTTTTATAGGTGTACCCTCTTTTTCCACCATCTAGAAAGAAAAGCTCCCACGTACAGAAGGAAGGACTTATTTGCTTGTTTTCAGAGTTGGAGCTAGATGCTAGGGTCTCAGGCTTGCTAAGCGAGCTCTCCCTGATGCTCCATTTCCACACTCGCTAGAGAGAAGGAAAAGACAACCAGGCAATAGAAACTCTCCACGGGAGACCTGGATGGGACAGAGATCTCACAGCAGCAGAAACATCCCATGCACCATCCATTCAAAGAAATGCCTTATAGAAAAGGCCAGAGAGTGGGTGGTGGTGGCGCACACCTTTAATCCCAGCACTTGGGAGACAGAGACAAGCAGAACTCTGTGAGTTCAAGGCTAGCCTGATCTACAAAGCACGTTCCAGGGCAGCCAGGACTATTACACAGAGAAACCATGTCTCAAACAATAAAAATAAATGAATAAATAAATAAATGAAAAAAGAAAGAAGAGGCCAGAGAGGGTGTCGAGCTCCTAGTCTCTGGGAGTCTTTTAAACTTTAAGAACAATCTTTAGCAGTGGAATGACTTTTATTTCTTCAAATTTGCAGAGTTTTTGTTTTTTGTTTGTTTTTGTTTGAAACAAGGTATTGATATAGATCACAGGTTCTCTTGGTATCCTCCTAGCTCAGCCTCATTTTTGAAAGCTTAATTTAAAAAGACTGATTTATATTTTCCGTGTATGAATGTTCTCTATGTGCACATGTAGGCAGTGCCCATGGAGGCCAGAAGAGGATGTAAGATCCCTGGAACTGAAGTTACAGACAGTTGTGAACCACCATGTGGGTGCTGGGAATCAAATCCAGGTCCTCCGTGAGAATAGCCTGTCCTTTTAAATTCTGAGCCATCTCCCTAGCATCATGTATTTTAATTTTAAATAACCTTTTAATAGAAAAACTTACATTGCTTTTAAAAGGAAATAAATGGATATAAAATACGTTATTTGAGCCAGGCAGTGGTGGCACATGCCTTTAATCACAGCACTCGGGAAGCAGAGGCAGGCTGATCTCTGTGAGTTCAAGGCCACCCTGGTCTACAAGAGCTAGTTCCAGGACAGGCACCAAAGCTACAAAGAAGCCTTGTCTTGAAAAACAAACAAAACATGTTATTTGAGTATCATATGACTTTGCCTGTAAAAACGCCTAGTACTGAGTCCTCTGGGGGTGTTGATATTTTCCTCATGTTTTCTCGCAAATTTTATACGTTTTATCAAGATATATTTGATTTTAGAGTCCTTCTTTCTCTACTTTTCCTTTTTTATTGTTGCTTTAGAATTGCTATACTTTCCTCCCCTTAATAGTTGCTATTTAATCTGGTGCATAGTGCATTTAAGGTAAGAGCTCTATCACTGAGCCCAGACTCAGGTATATCCTTTTAGCAGGAAAATAGAAGTCGTTCTCCTTGTCAGGCACATATTCTTCTATTGTTTCCTTATTTCCTGAGGTATCTTTATGGCCAGATTTCTCCTGTTCAGACCTCTGCTCAAATGTCACATGAGCCCATGGCTTTCTTGATCCCCAGGTCTGAAAGAGTCTGCCCTGCTCTCTGATCTCTGGCCTTGGTTCATCTCATTTCATGGTTCTGGTTTTCTAGTTTTTACTTATGTGTCATTGTCCATCTTTCCCACAAGTCAATAAGCTCTTTAAGGTCATGGATTTGGACTGGAGATAGAGTTCTTGCCTGACTTGTGGGGCCAGGGTTTGATCTCCCGACACAGCACACACGCGCAAGCACACCTACTCACGGATAATAAAATAAAGGACGTGTATCTTGGATTGACATTCTCCTGGTTAGCTTAGCTTCATTTCCTCTCCCATGCACATGTTCACAGATCCAGTTGCACCCCCAAATCTGCAGCCCTCCCCCTGACAGCTACTGACAACGGGGATCTCATCCTGCTGGCTTGTTCCTGCAGAGGCAGACCTCTGAAGCAATGCAGGTGGACTCAGCAGGAGTCCCGTGGGGTACTGGCCAGGGCTTGTCTTGCGTGGGATGCCTGCTTCCCTGGCAGCTCACTTCGTTACAGCATGAGCAAGCATGAAGCTACAAGTCCAGGACGAGGTGTCACAGAGAAGGTTTCCCAAGGCCTTCCTCCTTGACTTGGAGACGCGGCCCTCTTCTCACCCAGTTCCTGTATGATCTTCCCTGTGTTTGTCTGTGTCCTGATCTCTTCTCCTAAGAATTCTATCCCAGTGGCTTTTTTTTTAAAATTTAATTCCATCTTTGAAGGTCCTGTTTCCAGAACACAGACTTTCTGAAGGACTGAAGTTAGCGTCATGACATAAGCATTGGGAGAGACATCCAGTTCTTGACCCTTGAGTCCCTTGGGTAAACAGCTCTCCTAAAGCTGCCTCACCTGCAGCCATTTAAGTAATCCCAGTCCAGTTACCCAAGGGAGGTTGAGGCCACACTGCACACTGCCGGGCCCTACCCCCACAGGGGTTGGCAGCCCAAGGGTCCTGCTGGCTGGTAATCCTCAGCCGACAGCCACAAAACAAGCCCCTGTCCAAGTGACCCTGATGTTCAAGGCTCTAATCAGTTACATGCATGCCAACAGGCCTCTTGTCCCACCTCAGGGAGGAAGTTGATATGGGTAGCAAAACAAGGGTCTGGGTGTTCCGCCTCATTTCAAGCCCTGCTCCTGAGCCTTGGGTGTACGATTCCAGGCAAGTAGCAACCCTTCCATTCCTGTCCGAAAATGAGAATGACCCTGAGGTGTCTGGACCCTGGAGAAAACTCATTCAGATCCCCTGTGCAGAGGGCTATGGGAATATTGTCAATCAGAGCCTGAGGAGATGCACCCTTGGAACCCACATGGTCTCTCCTAGCTTCCCAGCTGGGGACAGAACTTGGGTGCTGCCTGGCTGTTCCTGCTGGGTGCAGGGATCCCAGACACCGGATGGAACTGTGATGCTGGGGTTCCCTGTCCAGTACTCTCCAGGCCACGCTACCGTCGGAGGCTTCCTGTCTATCAGCCCTGCATCCTGGCTGGTGCTGTTCTGCTACAGTTAACTCCTCTCTCTCCTGAGTCTCCCAGACATTGCCCCTGTACTCTCCCACAGGTCCTTCCCCAGGGCGTCTGCTTCTCTGAGGACAGAACTAATGCAGGGAGCCATTCTGTGGCTTGCTCAGGAATTGAGTGAATTACATACCAAACATTAGAAAAGCGCCTGGAACCAAGTAGAAGTTTATGAGTTGGGGCCACAGCTCCTTCCTGTAAGCCAGTCTCAGGGACTACAACTACCCAGTGTATAGAGGTCTGATAGACAGTAAGTGTCTGAGGTCATATGTCATTCATCTGCATGTGCCTGCTGACATCCCCCTGTACTCAATAAATGCATAATTACTACATTGCAAATAATAATAAGCTATGTACTTAAAGAGTCGGTCTACAACTAAGTTAATGAATCTACTCTATAGGCAACTAGACTAATTTATTGCAAAGATTTATTTTTATTTCACATGTATGGGTGTTTTGCCAGCATGTATGTCTATGCACCATATGCATGCAGTACCCATGGAGGCTGGAAGTGGGTGTCCAATCCCCTGGAACTGGAGTTTACAGATGGTTGTGAGCCTCCATGTGGGTGCTGGGAACTGAACCCAAGACCTCTGCAAAAGGCTTCTTAGGCCCGGAGTGTGCTCCACTTCCGCTGACCTCAGGCCCTTTGCACCACTGCTTCCCTTTCCCAGTCACCTCTATATTCCTAGGTCAGAGCTAACATTTACCCGACCTTCTTTATAGCTAGTACCTCTTTTTCTAAGCATTTTTCTACATTTGTAGTGATCCATTAATTAGTGTGTTCGTTAATTAATCCTTGTCTCC